GTTTTGTCCTGGATGGTGTCAAGTTTCTTGAGTGATGTTGGAACTGCACTCGCCCATGCAAGTGGAGGAGCATTCAGTCACACTCCTGTCTTGGGCTTCGTAGATGGTGGTCAGGCTTTGGGGTGTCAGGAGGTGAGTTAGGGCTGCAGAATTCCCAACCTCCGAACGGCTGTTGCAGCCACACTACAGATATGGGTTAGTACAGTTCAGTTTGTGGAATGCTGATAGTGGAGATGTCAGTGGTATGTAAGTGCTATGTAAATTAAAGTTGTTGCTGGAGCATAACTGTGCCTGTCACATAAGAGCTGGGCTGCTCTTGCCTCATCTCTCTAAGCTGTGTCTTCCTTTCTGCTTCCCCAGGTAACGGTGGTGAGTCTACAAGCTCCGCTGCCTCAGACTGACCTCTACATCCTTGGCCAAGCCGACCACTTCATTGGGAACTGCGTGTCCTCCTTCACTGCCTTCGTCAAGCGCCAGCGGGATGTTCATGGGAAACCCTCCTCGTTTTTTGGCTTGGACAAGCCACCAGGGCCCCACGACGAGCTGTAAGGCCAGATTGAGGGGCGGGGACGGGGATTAAGCTGTTGGGGTTCGTTGAGGGTGGGTTGGGGTGAGTGAGCAGGGTGGAGAGAAGGATCCCTGACTCCACCAGACTGTTCCCAGACAAGACTTCACACGGCTCTGCCTTAGGGTGGGGCCGCATCGGAACACTGAACCCCCTTTTGCAGCTGTTCACTTGGTGATGCCCACACTCTCTCTCTGTCTGTGAAAACTCGCTGGTACGCGTGCACGCAGACTCACACATTGTCAACACAGATACACATACACAAATGCAATGGCAGTTGTTAGCCTCAGAACCCCTGGGGTCTAGCCCCTATCTGCTACATGCCAGAGCTAAGGCCATCAGCCGAGGATGAAGCCAGAAGCCCGGATCACTTCAGAGCCACCAGGAAGGTTAGTGTGGGATTCGGGTGTGAACCACGGATGGGATTATCCTCAGTGTTTGCACCAGGACCCAGAGTTCATGAAGAGAATGATGAGTAAAAACAGACTAGTCCTCTGTAATATTTTAATTCTGATGTGACAATAAAAAATTCTTTATAGATTTTCTAATGTCTTCCTTACTCAGCACCATCACATCAGTAGAGGGAAACTGTGTTAAACTACGGAAGTGTAGAGTTAGCTTTACTTTCTATCTAACGCCATGCTGTTTTTTTCTCTTTTTTTTGTTATACATTCATGAGATGAGGTTGTTGCTGGCTAGGCAGCATTTCTTGCCCATCCCTAATTGCCCAGAGGCAGGACGTTATCTGGGTGTCTGGATTGACACTCCAGCAATAATACCACTAGGCCATTGCCTCCCCTATAACTGTCCTGGGAGTATTTGAAGGGGACAATGTGAAGGAAGCTTTACTGTGTATCTAACCATGAGCTGTCCCTCCTGGGACTGTTTAATGGAACACTTTGGGGGAAGGTTTATCTTTAGTTAAAGAGTTGAAGGAGCTTTAATTTCAGTTTAAGAGTACAGAGTGGTTTACTCAGTATCTAACCCTACTGTGTACCTGTTTGGGGACAGTGCAGAGGGAGCTTTATCCTGTATCCAACCTTGCACTGTCACTGTCCTGGGAACGTCTGATTAACCCTATGCTGGGAGTAGGTGCCGAAAATGCGCGGTGTTACATTGAGGTGATGACATTGTTCAGTACAGAGGCTTAAGATTCACAAAAGATATAGGAGCCCTTTTGTCTGGCCTACGGGGCAGTCACTGGAGAGAACATCGTAGGCAGGTTGTGAAATGAGGCTATCCCTCCTGGCTGTTGCAATATGTATGATAATTCAATCAGTATCATATGGGTGATTAACTGCTCAGCGATGGTTTATATAACTGGAAATTTGAAATGGAAATAAGATGCTTTAGGTAGAACGTTTTACCACCACCAGATGGGGATAGTGCATTTTAAAAAAAGTTTAACTAACGTGGCTGAGCACTTATATATTAACAGCCCCATTTTCTAAATTTCTACCCCTCGAGACCCGTGTAGACTTCTATGAGGTCACCCCTCTCAGTTTTTTTTCTTTCCTGGCCTGTACAGTATTCTCTGATTGTTCTAACCTCCCAATTAATGGCAGCATTCTCATAAATCCCTCTGCATCTTTTACCGGTACCTCCGTACCCTTTTCTGGAATGCAAGGTGCAAACTGTGTACATGTAAGGGGAGGCATAGCTAGATTATTAATTCAGAAACCCGGGCAACGTTATATGGCAGAATTTGAATTCAGTAAAAAAACTGGAAATCAGAGAAAAATGATGACTGTGAAACCGTTGCTGATTGTCTGAAAAGCTAATCTGGTTCACTGATGTCCTTTTAAAAGAGGGAAATGTGACAGCCTGGCCTGCGTGTGACTCCAGACCCAGGGTGATGAGGTTGACTTTTAACCTCTCTCTGGACAACTGGGGATGGGCAATAAACGCTGTGACACCCACATCCAGTGAATAAAGAATAACAGATAACTACCTAGCCAGCCAACCGCTCCTTACGGCACAGAAGGAGGCCGTTTGGCCCATCGAGCCCATGCCAGCTCTCAGCAAAGCGATCTTCTGTTCTGTCCCATGGGCAGATTTACTTACTTCACGTGCCTGTCCTTTCGAACTCAATCTTCGACCCTGTTTCTTTGGGTTGGGTCCGACTAATATTCGAGGCAGTGTTTACCTCCAGCCCGTTCCAATGCTCCCGCCACCCGGCGTGGGGTCCGTCTTGTTATTATTCCAGTTTCTGCCCAGCTCCATTCTGCAGATTTTCAGGATTTGTTTCACGCTCCCCCAGAAAAAGTTATACCCCGTCAATTCTCGGTGCCGGAGGGGCTACGTCGATTTTAAACCGGCTCCCTCAACCAACGTATGGTCAAGGTCCCAGGGGCGCCCATGGTTGACCGTCACGCGACATTAACCGCCGCCGCACGCCCTAACCAACCGCCGATGCTGACACTAACCGTCAGGCAACGCGCGGCCTTCTCCGTCGCGTGCGGCTAACGTGACAGTAACCGTCGACCAGAGCTAGCCTCCCCGCCACACACGGCTCTCCCCTCTCCCACCCCCATGGGATTTTGATGTGGGGTGACCAGGCACCGACGCCCGCCCCACTTCAGAATCCAGCGGACCCCTCCTCCCCGGAGCTGTCAGGGCCCACGGATGAACGAGTATGGGTGGGGAGGAGAGAGAGACTTACTGAGTGGCCGGCAACGACCCGATGGGCCGAATGGCCTCCTCCTGTGCCCTGAATGGCTCCGAAATGCTCGGGGCCATCGAGAGAGTGCTGTAACAGAGGCCAAGTTTGGCTTTGATTGCTAGGGGTAGAGATGTCCGAGAATGGGGGGCTGCATGTTGAACAGGAAGATGAGGAACTCCCTCTGCCCCATTCTCAGAGGGTTATTACTATTTGGTATTCTCTGACCCCAGAGAGTGCAGAGGCTAGGCTACTAAAATATAGACTCATACAGCATGGAAACAGATCCTTCGGTCCAACCAGTCCATGCCAACCATGCTCCCAAATCTTTTATTCATTCGTGAGATATGGGCATCACTGGCTAGGCCAGCACTTATTACCCATCCCTAATTGCCCAGAGGGCAGTTAAGAGTCAACCACATTGCTGTGGGTCTGGAGTCACATGTAAGCCAGACCAGGTAAGGATGGTAGTTTCCTTCCCTAAAGGACGTCACTGAACCAGTTGGGTTTTTCCCGACAAATGGCAATGGGTTCATGGTCATTAGACTCTTAATTCCAGATTATTATTGGATTCAAACTCCACCCTCTGCCATGGCAAGATTTGAGCCTGGGTCCCCACAACATTGCCTGAATTTCTGGATTGACAGTCCAGCGATAATGCCACAAGGCCATGGCCTCCTTGAATATGCTCAAACTCAAGTTACAGAGAGAGTCGAGGATAATAGAAGACGTGAAGAAAAATAGAGTTTAGGCCAATAATTGGATCAGCCATGATACTGTGGAAAGGCTGGCATGCTGGATGGACGAAATGGCCTACTCCTGCTCCTAATGGTCAAATCTGGTGACCAGCCATGCTCAAACCTTAAGGGACTGATTCCTTGTTCTAGTCCTTCATACCCCCAGCCCCCACCCCACCATGTGTAGCCCTTAGCCCTGGTGTATCTTTAGATATTTTAATGATCATTAGATCACCCCAACACTTTTTTTATTGAATCAAGGCTTTGTAAGTGTGTCTGGATGGACCATCATTCACGGCCCATCCCTAATTATCCCTTGAGAAGTTGGTGAGCAGCTTTCTTGAACTGCTGCAGCCTGTGAGATGGACGGGCACCCACAGTGAGATCAGGGAGAGAATTCCAGGATTGTGACCCAGAGACACCGAAGGAACGGCGATATGTTTTCACGTCAGGGTGGTGAGTGGCTTGGAGGGAACTTGCAGGGGCGTGGTGTTCCCATGTATCTACGGCTCTTCTCGTTCTTGATGGTGGTGGTCGTGGGTTTGCAAGGTCCTGTCTAAGAAGTCAATGCAGTGCATCTTGTAGATGGTACACACTGCTGCTACTGAATGACGGTGGTGCAGAGAAGGAGAGTTTGTGGATGTGCTGAGTGTTGGCGTTGCTGCACTCATCCAGGCAAGTTGTAGGTCACACACTCCTGACTTGTGCCTTTTAAATAGTGGTCAGGCTTTGGAGAGTGAAGTTCCTGTGCAGAAGGGAAGTTTGCATGAATGAAGGTGACTCATTGGGCCATTGGCAGGAATACCAGGCACCTACTGTCCCTTTCCTTTAGGAGAACCTGCAGAACAGCTGCTGGCTGTGCAGAATGCAGGATTTTCAGTGACCCCCAACTGCCTTTCTGCCTTTCAGCACTCATTGGTGGAGGCTGGGGATTGGAAAGGAGATGGTACTGCCCCTTCCCTGACTGACAGCTCCCTTACCGACCAGCGAGCCCCAGGCTCAATCCGCCAGCCAATCTATCCGCCCACAGAAAGTTGATGTAAAGTTCCAGGAAAGTTTCAGAAAACTTCTACATAGAGCAACTAGCTGGACATGGGGGTTCTATGGCTGGCAGTCAGACTTCAAGTCCTCTTGCTCATGGTCACGAGGGCAGGTAAGTGTCTGTTCCTCGTATAAAATGTGAAAGTAAGAGACGTGACATAGCTGCTGCAGGAGTGATTTAAAGCAACAGCGTCTCTAAAGCAGAGCCTTCAGCTGTGAAATGATGGGGTATGTTAAAAACTCCTCCCACGAACCCATGCTTTCTATTTATGTGTTTGTCACTTTTAGCTCCTGTTTGAGGTTCTCTTTAGATCCAGTACCCAGAGCTGTAAATATTTAGTTTCCATGAATGAATGCCCAGTGGCACGACTCTGTTTATACATAGAGGAGACTGTCGGGTCAATTGGAACTCGATTCAGATGGGAGGCGAGTGGTCTTTTGCTTTTCAGAGCAGATTTAAGATCGGAGGCAAGAGCAGATGGTAGCCCAACTAACTCCACTGTGAGAAAGCTGGGGTGTAATGGAATGTTTCACAGTGAAGGGTCTGGGGTATATCAAAGTGTGTTACAGTTGGGGGGGTTACGCTGGTGTGTCACAGTGAGGGGTGTGGGGTATATCATTATCACAGTGAGGGATGTGGGGTATATCATTATTACAGTGAGGGGTGTGGGGTATATGAGAGAGTGTTACTGTGAGGGGTGTGAGGTACAGGAGAGAGTCTCACAGTGAGGGGTGTGGGGTATATCGGAGAGTGTTACAGTGAGGGGTGTGGGGTATATCGGAGAGTGTCACAGTGAGGGGTGTGGGGTATATCAGTGTCACAGTGAGGGGTTTGGGGTATATCAGAGAGTGTTACTGTGAGGAGTGTGAGGTATAGCAGAGAGTCTCGCAGTGAGGGGTGTGGGGTATATCAGAGAGTGTTACAGTGAGGGGTGCGGGTTATATCAGAGAGTGTTACAGTGAGGGGTGCGGGTTACATCAGAGAGTGTTACAGTGATGGGCACGGGATATATCAGAGAGTGTTACAGTACAAGATGTGGGGTATATCAGCGAGTGTTACAGTGAAGGGTGTGGGGTATGTTAGTGTTACAGTGAGGGGTATATAGAGGCATACTCATAGAGTCATACAGCATGGAAACAGAACCTTTGGTCCAACCAGTCCACACCAACCATGTTCCCAAACTAAACTAGTCCCATCTGCCTGCATTTGGTCCATATCCCTGCAAACATGGGTAGGCGATGGCCTAGTGGTATTATCGCTAGACTATTAATCCAGAAACCCAGCTGATGTTCTGGGGACCCGGGTTTGAATCCCACTACGGTAGATGGTGGAATTGGAATTCAAAAAAAAAGTCTGGAATTAAGAATCTACTGATCGCTGTGAATCCATTGCCAATTGTTGGAAAAGCCCATCTGGTTCACTAATGTCCTTTAGGGGAGGAAATCTGCCACCCTCACCTGGTCTGGCCTACACGTCACCCACAGCAATCAGGTTGACTCTCAACTGCCCTCTGAAATAGCCTAGCAAGCCACTCAGTTGTACGAATCGCTGCAAAGACTCAAAGAAATGAAACTGGATGGATCACCTAGCATCGACCTAGGCACCAGAAAAGACAATGGCAAAAACAGTCCAATCGACCATGCAAAGTCCTCCTCACTAACATCTGGGGGCTAGTGCCAAAATTGGGAGAGCTGTCTCACAGACTAGTTAAGCAACAGCCTGACATAGTCATACTCACAGAATCATACCTTACAGACAATGTCCCAGACATCACCACCACCATCACTGGATATGTCCTATCTCACAGACAGGACAGTCCCAGCAGAGGTGGTGGCACAATGATATACAGTCGGGAGAGAGTTGCTCTGGGAGTCCTCAACTTTGACTCTGGACCCCATGAAGTCTCACGGCTTCAAGTTAAACATGGGCAAGGAAATCTCCTGCTGGTTACCACATACCGTCCTCCCACAGCTGATGAATCACTACTCCTTAATGTTGAACAGCACTTAGGGGAAGCGCTGAGGATGACAAGGGCACAAAATGTACTCTGGGTGGGGTTTTCAATATCCACCACCAAGAATGGCTCGGCAGCAGTACTACTGATCGAGCTGGTTGGGTCCTAAAGGACATAGCTGCTAGACTGGGTCTGCAGCAGGTGGCGAGAGAACCAACAAGAGGGAAAAACATACTTGACCTCATCCTTACTAATCTGCCAGCTGCAGTTGCATCTGTCAGTGATGGTATCGGTAAGAGTGACCATTGCACAATCCCACCTTCACATTGAGAACAACCTCCATCGTGTTGTGTGGCACTGTCACCGTGCTAAATGGGACAGACTTGGCACAGATCTAGCAACTCAAGACTGTGGGCCATCAATAGGGCTGGATTTGTACTCCCGCACAATCTATGGCCCAGCATATTCCCCACTCAACCATTACCATCAAGCCAGGGGATCAACCCTGGTTCAACGAAGAGTGCAGGAGGGCATGCCAGGAGCAGCACCAGGCATACCTGAAGATGAGGTATCAACCTGGTGAAGCCACCAAACAGGACTACTTGCACACCAAACAGCGAAAGCAGCAAGTGATAGACAGAGCTAAGCGATCCCACAACCAACGTATCGGATCTAATCTCTGCAGTCCTGCCACATCCAGTCGTGAATGGTGGTGGACAATTAAACAACTCACTGGAGGAGGAGACTCCACAAATATCCCCATCCTCAATGGTGGAAGAGCCCAGCAGATCAGTGCAAAAGATAAGGCTGAAGCATTTGCTGCGATCTTCAGCCAAAAATGCCAAGTGGATGATCCATCTTGGCCTCCTCCAGTGGTCCCCAGCATTACAGATACCAGTCTTCAGCCAATTCGATTCACTCCACGTGATATCAAGAAACGGTTGGAGACTCTGGATACGGCAAAGGCCCTGACAACATTCCAGCATTAGCACTGAAGACTTGTGCTCCAGAACTTGTGCTCCCCTAGCCAAGCTGTTCTAGTACAGTTACAGCACTGATATCTACCCGACAACGTGGAAAATTGCCCAAGTATGTCCTGTATGCAAAAAGCAGGACAAATCCAACCCGGCCAATTACCGCCCCATCAGTCTAGTTTCGATCATCAGTAAAGTGATGGAAGGTGTCATCAACAGTGCTATCAAGCAACACCTGCTCAGCAATAACCTGCTCAGTGACGCCCAGTTTGGGTTCCTCCAGGGCCGCTCAGCTCCTGATCTCATTACAGCCTTGGTTCAAACATGGACAAAAGAGTTGAATTCTCAAGGTGAGGTGAAAGTGACAGCCCTTGATATCAAGGCTGCATTCGACCGAGTGCGGCATCAAGGACCCCTAGAAAAACTGGAATCAATGGGTATCAAGGGGCAAACGCTTGGTGGTTGGAGTCATACCTGACACATAGGAAGATGGTCGTGGTTCTTGGAGGTCAATCATCTCAGCTCCAGGATATCTCTGCAGGAGTTGCTCAGGGTAGTGTCCTAGGCCCAACCATTTTCACTTGCTTCATTAATGACCTTCCCTCCATCATAAGGTCAGAAGTGGGGATGTTCACTGATGATTGCACAATGTTCAGCACCATTCGTGACTCTTCAGATACTGAAGCAGTCCATGTTTACATACAAGAAGATCTCAACAATATCCAGGCTTGGGCTGACAACTGGCATGTGATATTCATGCCACACAAATGCCAGGCTATGGCCATTACCAAAAGAGACAATCTAACCACCACCCCTTGATATTCAATGGTGTTACCATCACTGAATCCCCCACTATCCACATCCTGGGGGTCACCATTGACCAGAAACTCAATTGGACTCACCACATTAACAGAGTGGCTACAAGAGCAGGCCAGAGGCTGGGAATCTACGGCGAGTAACTCATCTCCTGGCTCCCCAAAGCCTGTCCGCCATCTACAAGGCACAAGTCAGGAGTGTGATGGAATACTCCCCACTTGCCTGGATGGGGGCAGCCCCAACAACAATCAAGAAGCTTGACACCATCCAGGACAAAGCAGCCCGCTTGATTGGCACTACATCCACAAGCATCTACTCCCTCCACCACCGATGCTCAGTAGCAGCAGCGTGTACTATCTACAAGGTGCACTGCAGAAATTCACCAAAGATCCTTAGACAGCACCTTCCAAACCCACGACCACTTCCATTTAGAAGGACAAGGGCATCACACATATGGGAACACCACCACCTCCAAGTTCCCGTCCAAGTCACTCACCATCCTGACTTGGAAATATATTGCTGTTCCTTTACTGTCACTGCGTCAAAATCCTGGAATTCCCTCCCTAATAGCATTGTGGGTCAACCCACAGCAGGAGGACCGCACCGGTTCAAGAAGGCAGCTCACCACCACCACCTTCTCAAGGGCAACTAGCGATGGGCAAGAAATGCTGGCCCAGCCAGCAACGCCCACATCCCACAAATGAATTGAAAAAAAAATGTACTTATCCAAATGTAAATATCGGAGAGTGTTACGGTGAGGGGAGTGGGGTAAAGCAGAAAGTGCCACAGTGAGGGGTGTGGGGTATATCAGAGAGTGTTACAGTGAAGAGTGTTGGGTATATCAGTGTTACAGTGAGGGGTGTGGGACATATCAGAGAGCGTCACAGTGAGGGGTGTGGGGTATATCAGAGAGCGTCACGGTGAGGGGTGTGGGGTATGTCAGAGAGTGTCATGGTGAGGGGTGTGGGGTATATCAGAGAGCATCACAGTGAGGGGTGTGGGGTATATCAGAGGACGTCACAGTGAGGGGTGTGGGGTATATCAGAGAGCGTCACAGTGAGGGGTGTGGGGTATATCAGAGACAGTGTCACAGTGAGGGATGTTGAGTACATCAGAGAGCGAGAGAGTGAGGGGTGCGGGGTATATCAGAGAGTGTTACAGTGAGGGGTATGGGATATATCAGAAAGCGTTACAGAGTGTGGTGTAAGGTATATCAGAGAGTGTTACAGTGAGGGGTGTGGGGTACATCGGAGTTTTATTGTGAAGGGATTTGAACGTTAGACTGTGTTACAGTGAAGGGAGTGGGTGTGGGGTATAGCTCAGCGATACAATGAGGCATTTGTATGATGTCCATTAAAGTGAAGAAATTTTTGAATGAAGGGCAATAGCTGCTCTGTTCATGGGAGGTTAATTGAAGAAGAATGTTTTGTACTGAGATGAACAGGTGGTTGGGACCAGGCTGTCTCAACAATGCAGCTCCTCCAGAGCCCAAACCAGAGAGAAATGCAGTCTGTTCTATTAATACCCAGGGTATTAGACAGCAAAGGAGAAGACAGTGAGAGGGCTCCAGTGGGAGACAGTTCTGTGAAGGATAAACTGATGGCAATTATGATAATCAGTTGAAGAGGATAAACATTCATTCTGCTCAGATAAGGATGTTAGAGTTTGTAACACTACTGGATTTAGACAGTCTCCACAGATGGAGTTTTAGATATCCTGGGTTTACATACTGCAGCAGAAGATCCATCATTTGGGAATATTGATGGAACTCAAAGCATCCAGACATGATGCTTGGCCATCAACCTCACTGAGATATTAGAATTAATGCTGCAACCCTTCGCCTTGTACCCATGTGGCTAGATGGGTTTCGCTGTGTCTTTCAAGTCTTATAAGGTAGTTGATATGCAAGGTCCCATTCTGCACTCCCCTGGTACTTGAGTTGAAGGTGCCAGATCAGACACCTCCTTGCTCCTGAATTGGGCAGGAGGGTCTGTGCTTGTATGTCTGTGTTAGCTGGGTCTGATGGGCATACCAAAAGGGCAAAGGGGCATGCTAAAAAACAAGGAATCAAACTCGTGAAGCTCCAGCGGTTCTTTTTGACTTCTTGGATACTGGAACAGTCGGTGTCTAAATGCAGCAAGACCTGAGTGATATTCAAATTTGGGCTGACAAGTAGCAAGGAACACAAATTTGTGCCACACAAATGCCAGGTATGACCATCTTCAACAAAAGAGAATCAGAGTCATGGAACTTGCTGTCTAGCAGCATTGTGGCTATACCTTCACCACATGGACTGCACCTCAAGAAGGTAGCTCACTATCACCTTCCCAAGGGGTAATTAGGGATGGACAATAGCCAATGATGCCCACATCCCACGAACGAATAACGTAAAAAGTTCTTGGGTTGTCGGCACATAATAATGTCAATGAGTGTAACAGGAAGACGGTTAGATTTTCTCTTATTGGAAATGGTCATTGCCTGCCACTTGTGTGGCATCTGTGTTAAAAGTTTTGATCAAAATGACGGAGTCCTTGAGTCACTGATGAAAGTACATGGTTGGTCATTTTGAATTGTCTGCCTGGCTTTTTCTGACCTTTGAACCCAGGTGTCAGTGCCTCTGAGACGGAGAAGAGACTTCTCAACAAGTTGTTTGACTCCTACAATCCCAATGTGCGGCCTGCGCAGACGGCAGATGAGAAAGTGACAGTGAGAGTGGGGATGACCCTCTCACAGCTGATCAGCCTGGTAAGTCTCCAAGCATTCAATGGGAAGAGGCCATTCAGCCCTTCAGGCCTGTTTTGCCTTTCAACCAGGGCTGATCCAAGACTGAAAACTGTTTTCTGTTGAGAAAAATGCCTCAGTGTGGGAACAAGAGACCGAAATCAAAGGCTAAAATTCACGGAAGACTTCTCACAGTTCTGTTGACTTCTTGTGTCAGTGAGATCGCAATGTTAACAGTTGTTGAATGGATGAAGCCTTCAAATCAGTTTTCATTTCATGTGAAAGTCAGTTAGAAATCCTGAAATTTGATGTATCAAGCTCTTATAATATTTCAGGCAGTTGGTTCTGCCTTAGAGTTTTCTGTTATTTTTTAGAAGAGTTCATATTGATCTTAGGAGTAAGGAGGTCTTTCTTCAACTGAGTCATCTAAGTGTGCTGGAAACACAGCAAAATCAGTCCAGAGGCTGTTGCTAGGCTCCCTACAACATAGGGCCCCTTCTTTTTTTCCCCTTTATTCATTCATGGTGATGAGGGTGTTGCTGGCTAGGCAGCATTTATTGCTCATCCTTAATTGCCCAGAGGGTGGTTACAAGTCAACCACATTGCTGTGGGTCTGGAGTCACCTGTAGGCCAGACCCAGTAAGGATGGCAGTTTCCTCCCCTAAAGGGACGTTAGTGAACCAGATGGGTTTTTCCCCAACAATGGATTCATGGTCATCATTAGACTCTTAATTCCAGATATTTATTGAACTCAAATTTCACCATATGGTAGGATTTGAACCAGGTCCCCAGAACATGACCTGGGTCTCTGGATTAACAGTCCAGCAATAATACCACTAGGCCATCGCCTCCCCTAGATATCCAGGAATTGAAGTAATCAAACTCATCCTTTATCTCTCCGAAAGACCTTGATATTTTGTTTTAAAAGGCTTGCATTCTTTTCACAATGTCGATGGGCTTTTGGCAAATGGTAGCTGAATCACAAGAGACTTCAAAACGTATGGCTGAACACAGCTGTCAAAAGTCACAAAGTAAAAACACTTTTTAATCCAGAATGTCCAGACAGTTCTATATTCCATTTCCTCATAGTCATAGAGCTGTACAGCACAGAAACAGACCCTTCGGTCCAACTCGTTCATGCCGACTAGATATCCTAAAAAAATCTAGTCCCATTTGCCAGTATTTGGTCCATACCCCTCTAAACCCTTCCTATTCATGTACCCAACCAGATGCCTTTTAAATGCTGTAATTGTACCAGCCTCCACCACTTCCTCTGACAACTCATTCTTTACACGCACCACCCTCTGCGTGAAAAAGTTGCCCCGCAGGTCCCATTTAAATCTTTCCCCTCCCACCTTAAACCTATACCTTCTAGTTTTGAACTCCTCTACCTGGGGAAATGAACATGGCCATTCACCCTATCTATGCTCCTCATGATTTTATAAACTTCTATAAGGTCACCCCTCAGCCTCTGATGCTCCAGGGAAAAAAGCCCCAGTCTATTCAGCCTCTCCCTATAGCTGAAACCCTCCAACCCCAGCAACATCCTTGTAAATTTTTTCTGCACCCTTTCAAGTTTCACAACATCCTTCCTATAGCAGGGAGACCAGAATTAAATGCAATATTCCAAAAGTGGCCTAACCAATGTCTTGTACACTGCAACGTGACCTCCCAACTCCTACACTCAATGTACTGACCAATAAAGGCAAGCGTACCAAACGCCTTCTTCACTACCCTGTCGACCTGGGACTCCACCTTCAAGGAACTATGAACCTGCACTCCAAGGTCTCTTTTGTTCAGCAACACTCCCTAGGACCTTATCATTAAGTTTATAAGTCCTGCCCTGATTTGCCTTTTCATAATACAGCACCTCACATTTACCTAAATTAAGCTCCATCTGCTGCTCCTCGGCCCATTGGCCCATCTGATCAAGATCCCATTGTACACTGAGCTAACTTTCTTTGCTGCCCACTACACCTCCAAATTTGGTGTCATCTGCAAAATTACTAACTGTATCTCCTATGTTCACATCCAGATCATTTATAAAAATGATGAAAAGCAGTAAACCCAGGATCAATCTTTGTGGCATGTTGTGTCCTTAAGTATGAATATGTATTCTCAACACTGTTGACTCTTTCAAATTGATCTTTCATGATAACCACCTTGATTCGACCAGACAAGGTTTACAAGCCTCGTTTGTGTAACCTGTCTCCATTAGTGAACCTTTTAGCCCTGGGATCATTCTCCTGAATCTCCACTGCACTCCTAACAAGGCCAATACCTCCTTCCTGAGCTGTGGGGCCCAGAACTGGACACAGTTCCCCCAGCTGGGGATCCACACAGAGGTTTATATAATGTCCAACAATGTGTATTCCTGTCTCCTGCTTAGTTTTCACGCAGAAAGTGGTCAGGAACTGGAACGGGCTGCCTGAGACTGCAGTGGAGATTGATACAATTAAGATTTTCAAAAGAGAATTCGATGGTTATCTGAAGAGAGGGCTACAGGGAGGAGAATGGTAGTAGTGGAACCGTCTCCTCTGCCTTAAGTATTCTAGGATTCTATTCCAACATCTTTCAACGTTATCCGTTTTAACTTCAGATCTCCACGATGCTGGTGGATTGCCCTTCTGCATCTCCTGTCTCATGAAGACTCTCACTCCTGTACCTTTCCATCTGGTTTTCAGCCTTCCTCTTCTCCCTCTCTCAGCTCCGGCACCTCCCTCCCCCATTACTTCACTGTTTGCCGCAGATGACCATACTGTAATGACAAGAAGCGTTGCAAATCATTCGAAGGTCCTGCGATGGGGGTGGGAGAATGGCGGATTATCAATGAAATGATTGAATAGGGTGAAGATGGAATTCAATGTATCACTAGGCACAGGGAGGTAGTTCTTAGATTTGTTCAAAAAAAGCCCAAGAAATGATCTAGCTTGAATGGGGAAGGATGGGTGAAATGGATTTGCAAGGTATTAAAAGCCAATGCTCAAATGGGTAATGTTTTAGAAACAAAAATGATAGGTTTTAATGCTACATTATTAAGCTGTAAGATGGGAGGCAGTGGCAAAATGGTAATATCACTAGCATAGTAATCCAGAAACTTGGGGTCTTGGGTTCAAATCCAACCATGACAGGTGGTGAAATCCGAGTTTAATTTTGAGGTGAGGAAGAATTTCTTTGCTCAGGCGGTTGGTGAACTTTTGGAATTCTCTACCCCAATGGACAGAGTAAGTTCAGTCATCTAGTGTTTTGAAAGCAACATTGAGGTAGATGATCAGCCATAGTTGACTTGGATTGCAGAGCAGGCTTAGTGGGCTGAATGGCCTGCTCCTGTTCTTATATTCCTGTAAAGAACTTCAGTCTTTTTTCCACTGCCACTTTCACTAGGCCAGCATTAATTTCCCTAACTGCCTGCTATTACATTGTGGTGGGTCTGGAGTCACGCGCATGTCTGACCGGGTAAGGACAGCAGATTTCCTTCTCTATGATATTTGCGATCCAAGTGGATTTTTAACAACAACCAGCAATGCCAACATACTCACCATTAGGCAAGTTTTTTTTATTGAATAGACTTCACCATCAAACACGGTGGGATTCAAATTCATATTCCCAGAATATGTGGTTCTGCATTACTAGTCCAGCAATATTCCCACTGTGCCACCACCGTCCCTATTTCTTTGCTATTCCCAGAATCCTCATTGAGCCACCGATGCACTGCCTCCTGATTCTGACCTTTCTTGTCACTTGAGTCTCTGCCTCATTCATGTCCTTTGTTTGTAATATTGCCCACATTTCTACCGTGATATGGTAAGGCCGCTTCCAGAACAATCTGTGATTCAATTCCAGTCACCTTTTAACTAACCAATTTATTTATGGAGACAGATTAAATGATGTGGGTTTGGCTGGTGATCGCAAATTCTTTTGGAAGTAATTGAATGATTTATTCTGGTTAAATCTACGTACAACAGTGTGAAGCTCCCTCTGCGCTGTCCCTGTTAAATATGCCTGCAAGGTGAGATGCAGCATAAAGCTACCTCTACACTTTTAAACTGAAAGTAAAGATCTTTCTCTGTTCTTTTAAACTGGAATTAAAGCTCCACTTACAATGCCTCCATGACTCCCAGGACAGGACAGCAGGGGGCTAGATACAGAGTAAGGTTCCCTCTATTCTTTTCAACTAAAGGTAAAACTGTCTGTATTTTTAAATAGAGAGTAAAGTTCTCTCTAATCTTTTAAACTGTAAATGGAGCTACCCCCATATTGTCTCTATCAAACACTCCCAGCACAGGAATAGCTTGGGGTTGGATTCAGTGTAAAGCTCTCTCTTGTCCAAATTGAGCCACTTAGAATGCTCTGGGCAGTCAGATCGAGCACGTGGGGAAATTATTGAAAAGGTGCAGGTGAGGGGAGAACACAATCAGTTTCTGAGATTGCTCCCCAACCCAACCCTGAAATGGGGAAATTCATGCCGAGCAGCATCAATGGCTGAACAGGGGTCCTTGGGGCCGGGTGTGGGGGTGGGGTTTAAGTGCTGGTTCTCCCTGATGGGCAGCTGGGAGGATATCTAATGCTTCTGTCAGGCTCTGTCTGCTCGCCCGAGCCACAAACCCTCCCAGCTACCATCTAGACATTTAGATTGAGGGCTTAGTATACTGTATGGGATTGGTGGCCTTTTCTACACCCAGTCACAATCAGGCGAGTGGTGTCGGCCCCTTCTGACAGCTGGAAATGTGCCCCACAGCCCACCTGCGATAAATTGTCCGGGCAGCTGTCAGGAGCTCCCAGGGCAGTCTTCCTCTGAGCATTAACATCCGTTCTGTTCTAAAGATGTTTTGTCATCCGATATCTCAATTGGGTAACAGCCTTGTAACTGGAGGCTGTGGAATTTCCTCAACACTTAATCTGCTCTCCATAATCTCGGCAGGAAGTGACTGTCTGAGAGTCTGATGCTTCTCCCACGGTCTATTAATGCAAAGAAAGGCTTCTGTGGTCACCAAGAGGGTAGGGTATGGCATTGTGGGGAGTCACGGTAAGTTCCCCCATCCCCTCTCACACATGCACACACACTCTCACTCACTCTCACACTCACTCACTCATTCACTCACTCTCTCTCACTCATGCACTCTCTCACTCACTCACGCACGCACTCACTCACTCTCTCACACACTCAGTCTCTCACTCACGCACTCTTGTCATTCACGCACTCACTCACGCACTCTCTCTCACACACACTCACTCACACACTCACACTCACTCACTCACTTTCACACTCATTCTCGCACTCACTCTCTCACTCACTCTCTCTCACTCACTGTCTCACTCTCACATGCACTCTTGCACCCACTCACTCTTGCACCCACTCACTCTTGCACTCACTCACTCTTGCACTCACTCACTCTTGCACTCATTCACTCTCGCACTCACTCACTCTCGCACTCTCTCACTGTCGAGGCATGATCAGATCCCAGAGGCTGCCCTGGAACAAAGGTTGAGGAGAGGAGCAATGGTGAGATGCCACAGCCCCACCACATTGGGGGGTACAATTACACTGTGACCTGTTTACATAGCACTCACACCTAGGGAAGGTTCTGTCCGGTCTTTAGCTCCCCCATGCAAACCTCGTCCTGCTCCTACTCCATCTCACCCATCACCCTGTCTTTCAAATCCTCTCCCTCATGTAGTTATCCAGTTTCATCTTAACTGCAGTTCTTATCAGGCGCTCTTTGTGATGGTGTGCTAACGTTTCCAGTTTAATTGTCACTCTTTCTTTCTTGAGAACAGAATGAAAAGGATGAGGAAATGACCACAAATGTCTTCATGAATCTGGTAGGTGGTGACCTTTTGCACTCTGACCTTTACTCCTTCTGTTCCTTCAGCCCGGTTCTGCCATCAGTTCCACACCTCCCATCCCACTCTTGCCCACTTAAAATCTGACCTGGTTGCATGCATCTTGCTGTCTGATGGCTTGACTGATCACTGCCCTCAACTATGCAGGGCATGTGGGCATAGTTTTAAGGGCAGGTTGGGGAATGCTGTTTGTCTCTAGTTCTGCCTTTCTCTCTGGCTCTCCTTCTCTCTTTCTCTTGCTGAGGGATTGTGCATGGATTTGAAATAAGGTCAGAGCTGATGAGACACTGTTGCCCGTTGGGGAGTGGGTGATATTAATGGTTTTTATTTGTGGGAGGGATTAATTTTTCTGATTCTCTGCTCCCTGCACCCTGTCTCCCCCAAACCAAGGCCTGGATGGATTATCGATTGAGGTGGGACCCGAAGAATTATGACGGCATTGATGTTCTTCGAATTCCCTGCAGCAAAGTGTGGCTGCCTGACATTGTGCTACTGAACAAGTCAGTGATGTCATACGCATGTGTCACCGTGTTTTGTGTGTGTGTGTGTGTGTGTGTGTGTGCGCGCGCGTGTGTGCCTCTCTTTCTCTCCCTCCCTGCGCTGTCAGAGGGCCAGGGCTGAGGAACCTCAGTATGTCCTTCTGGTGAATGTAAAATAACTCACAGTGCTGTTTAGAGGAAGGGTGGGGACAGTGAGTGAACTATTGGGGGCGTGCTGGATTCTTTCCTGTTGCCTGGCGCCAATATCGCTCAACCATCTTTGTGGAAACAGGTTCATCCGGTCAGGGAAGGGAGCTAACTGTGAGTGAACTGTGGTTCCTCCATTACGCTTTACGAAAATGCTTCTTTGGCTACGAAGCTTCTTTGGGTCCCCTTGAGATCATGAAACCTGCTATATAATTGCAAATCTAATGATCAACAATGGGCAAATAGCTAACCCTATGAATTGTGAAAAGGTCTCTTACAAGGGTGCCACCTTTAGCGTCTTAAATGTCAAAAGATTTGGGCTGGGAGAGCAATACAATTCTTTGATATGTTTCTTTTATCGTGCAGTTTGATGCCATACTGAGTTTGGTCTGTGACCAACTGGTTGAGGAGATGGCAAAGTCAAGAACAATCTACAATTTTAGACTTTAAAGTAACATTATACATTATACATTAATACTAAATACTGTTACACACAGCGATCACAGATATATCAGGGTCCGAATGATAGTTCCATCAGATACAGACGAAGCAATTTTTGTGCGTTCACATTCATGTCCTCTCAAGTTGTAGAGTCATAGAGTCACACAGCACAGAAGCAGATCCTTTGGTCCAACTCATCCAGGCTGACCAGGTATCCTAAACAGATCTAGTCCCACTCACCAGCACTTGGCTCATATCCCTCTAAACCCTTCCTATTCATGTACCCATCCAGATCCCTTTTAAATGTTGTAATTGTACCAGCCTTCACCACTTCCTCTGGCAGCTCATTCCATACACACACCACTCTCTGTGTGAAAATATTGCCCCTTTTGTCCCTTTTAAATCTTTCCCCTCTCACCTTAAACCTACGCCCTCTAGTTTTGGGCTCCCCTACCCCGGGGAAAAGATCTTGCTGTAAAATTCTAGTCTACTTTAGTCTAAGGTGGTATGGTTTGCTCTGACTCCACCCACATTGTGTATGCTATTTATACAAGGTGATGTGGAGCTCCATGATGTCATTGTAAAGTGGCTTCCAGGTCCTGATGCTCTTACACTGTTGCTAATGGTTGTAACTTGACTCCCAGCCCATGTGTCGGCTCAACACTGGAATTCCTGACTCTTGCTATGTTTCCTTCTCTCTCCAGCCCATTCACCCTTTTACTCAATGTCTTTCTTGTTTTCTCTCTCTCTCTCTATCTCATTACAGCAATGATGGCAATTTCCATGTGGCACTCCTTGTTAATGTGCTGGTACAGCACAATGGCATTGTCAGCTGGCTCCCTCCTGCCATCTACCGGAGCTCCTGTGCCATCAGAGTAAGTTGTCCTCCTTGCCCATGCAGGTGCTGCCGCTGGTTCTGTGTCTGGGGATTTCAAATCCAAGGAGCGTGGGATTTTAAATTCCCATTGAATTGAAACGAGGGCATGGTGGATCAGGCATAGAGATAGCAGGAACTGCAGATGCTGGAGAATCCGAGACAACAAGGTACAGAGCTGGATGAACACAGCAGGCTAAGCAGCATCATAGGAGCAGAAAGGCTGACGTTTCGGGCCTAGACCCTTCATCAAAAATGGGGAGGGGAAGGGGGTTCTGAAATAAATAGGGAGAGAGGGGGAGGCGGATAGAAGATGGATAGAGGAGAAGACAGGTGGAGAGGATCAGGCACTTGTCCACCCGGATCATGAGTTTGAGTATGGGGGCCATGAACGTTGAGACCAAGGCTGATGTTCTCAGTGCAGTGCCCCCTCCTCCTCTCCCTCCTCCTTCCCTTCCACCCCTCCCAGCCCCCTCCAACTTCCCTACTGCTTCCACATCCCCATCCCCCAGTTTTTCTATACCTTCTCCTCCCTGTCTGCATCCACTAATACTTATCCCTGACTAGCATTCCTTTTCCAAGGTTTGGGTGGGGGGTACTGGTGGTGGACTGGGGGTGGCGTCTGGGGAGATGAGAAAACCAGAGTTGAGCTCGTTGTCATTCACCTCCCTGGTGTCACATAGACCTTGCTTGTGCGCAGATGTGGGCACCTACTTTCTCAGTGGAGATGGTTGAAAGCCTGGCCCCCTGGGATTGAACTCATCCAATCCACAACTGTCATGGGACGGTGGGGATGTGGTACTGGAAGGGAGAGCTCAACCTGAGAGCCAGCAACAGGGCTGAAAGGGCTGAATAGACCTCTCCCCTTCCTCCTTCAGCTTGCTAAGATGCTGTACAAATACAGGGCCATGTGTACCGTTGCCTGTCGGGGGAAGGGGCAGTGAGTCTTGTTCGTGCTGGACTCAGGTTGTCTGCTGTGTGTCTCTCTCCAAACCCCCATTGTAGGTGAAGTACTTCCCATTTGATTGGCAGAACTGCACCATGGTTTTCAAATCTTACACGTACGATACATCTGAGGTGATCCTGGAGCACTCCCTGGATGATTCGGGGAGGCACGAGATCAGAGAGGTGATCATTGACAAGAATGCCTTTACCGGTAAGTCCTCCCAGGATTGTTCAGCTTGCTGCCCTCTCCCTCTCCATCCCCCTCCATTATTGCCCCTGCCCTTCTGCTCCCATTTACCCCTGCCCCCTCTTCACTTGAGCCCAGCCTGTATATGCCCGTAAGTCCTGCCCCTCACCCTGCTCCACCTCACACTCTCCTTCTCGTCCACTACCCCCAAGCACAACTGTCCCTCCTCATCACTGCCCCCTCAAACTTCCTTAATCCCATCTTGTGCTACCACTGGGGAAAGTTCTGAGGTGGTTTAGCTCTGGGTTGCAATTGGTATCTAACGTGTTCCTTTTTCCTTTTTTATGTCTCTGTGTATGTGTGTGTACATGGGTTTGTGTTGGGGTGTGTGTGCTGCTGTGTCTGTGTATGTGTGTGTACGTGGGTTTGTGCGGGTGTGTTTGTGTGTGCGTGTGTTTGTGCGCGTGCGGGTGTGTCTGCTGGGTGCGTGTTTGTGGTTGAATCCTGGCAGAGAACGGCGAGTGGCAAATCTGGCACAAGCCTTCACGCAAGAACACGCTGAGCCACGACCCAAGCTATGAGGACATTACCTTTTATCTCATCATCCAGCGCAAGCCCCTCTTCTACATTGTCAACATCATCATACCCTGCGTCCTCATCAGTATCCTGGCCATCCTGGTCTTCTACCTTCCTCCTGACGCAGGTAACGACTCCCTTTCCCCACCTCGTCAGGTCTGGCACGGGGTCTATGAGCCAGGATAGTGAGTTCAGTCTTGGGACCAAGATTTGGACCCACGACCATCTGATTCTTGGGGGATGGAGGGAGGGGGAGGGGAGGTCATAGAGTCGTAGAGCTTTTACAGCACGCCCATTACATGCACCGTCAAGCATTTATCATTTCCAATCCATCTTCCAGCACTTAGCCCATAGCCTTGTAGATATTTTCTAATCAATCTGTTCAGTGGCGTTAGCAGACACCTCTGGAGTAGATGCGACTTGAACTGGGCCTCCTGGCTTAGAGGACACTACAGCTGTGCCACAAGAGTACAACCTGTACCCTATAGTTCTTCAAGTGAATATCTGAACACTTCTTAACTGTTATGAGGGTTTTTGCCTCTATCAGCCTTACAGGCAGTGGGTTCCAGATACACACCACCCTCCCCAAATCCTCTGTAAAACTCCCATCTCTTTACCTTGAAAACTGTTTGTCCTGGTTATTAACCCCTCCACTATGGGAGGTTGTGCGGGAGGGAAGGAAGAAGGATGTGTAGGAGGGAGGGTGGGAGAGTGAGGGAGGGATGTGGGGGAGTGAGCAGGGCAGAGGGATTTAAGAGCAGTGTGATTTAGAGTGTGTGAGCGGGTACCGAGCTGTGTTTGACCCTCTCTCCCTCCAGGTGAGAAGATGACTCTGTCAATCTCCGTGCTGCTGGCACTCACTGTCTTCTTGCTGCTTCTGGCTGACAAGGTCCCGGAAACCTCACTGGGAGTTCCCATCATTGTCAACTACCTGATGTTCACCATGATCCTTGTCACCTTCTCAGTCATCCTCAGCGTGGTTGTTTTAAACCTTCATCATCGCTCTCCAAACACACACGCCATGCCCTACTGGGTCAAACAGGTACCCATCCACACCCTGGATGACTTTGTTTTGTTCACTTGTGGGACGTGGGTGTCGCTGGCTGACCACCATTTATTGCCAATCCCTAGTCGCCCTTGAGAAGGTGGTAAGTGGGGGGATGAATGGTACTAGAACCAGGGGATAACATCTCAGAGTGAGGCCAGTGGTCGGGGGTGGGGGCAATATGACACAGTGGAGGAGGGATTCCTTTACCATTTCTAGGTATCAAGTGATACAGTGCAGGAAAATAGGTAGATAATTGGTCCTGTGCAAGTCATATGGCAGGTCAGGCTTAAAGGGGCTGAATGGTCTACTCCTGCTCCTACTTCCTGTGTGGTTATGAGTTTGAGATTGCAGGAGATTATCACAAGACAGTTATCTTTTTGCATTGGTTACAGGCCAGTTGCAGGAATACATAATATCGCAGGGTGGGATAAGAGACGAAGGAGCAGCACTCCGGAAGCTTCAAATAAACCTGTTGGACTATAACCTGGTGTCACGTGACATCTGGCCTTGTTCACCCCAGTCCAACACCGGCACCTCCACGTCATGGAATAAGAGTGTTACTGTAGTTATACTAATAGATATAGATTGATATGTTACTGTTAATATACTAGAGATTAGGCAGCATCTGAAGCCAAAATGATAAAATTTGTATTCTTCGAATAGGAGTATAACTTTGACTTGACATAAGAACTGGGAGCAGGAATTAGCTATTTGGCCCCTCAAGCCTACTCCATCACTTAATATGATCATGGCTGATTTCATGTCAGCCTCAGCTCCACTTTCCTGCCCACTCCCCATAACCCTTCAATGTGTTACTAATTAAAAATCTATCTTTGTTAAATTTATTCAGTGTCTGTTTCATTCCCTCTAACTGCAGTTTCTCTCTTCAATTAGAGTCAGAATCAGAGTTGTACAGCACAGAAGCAGACCCCTCAGTCCAACTTGTCCATGCCAAACAAATATCCTAAATTAATCTAGTCCCATTTGCCAGCATTTGGCCCATATCCCTCTAAACCCTTCCTATTCATGTACCCATCCAGATGCCTTCTAAATGTTGTAATTGTACCAGCCTCCACCACTTCCTCTGGCAGCTCATTCCACACATGCACCACCCTCTGCGTGAAAACGTGACCCCTCAGATCCCTTTTAAATCTTTCCCCTCTCACCTTAAACATATGCCCTCTAGTTTTGGACTCCCCTACCCTGGGAAAAAGACCATGGCTATTCACTCTGTCCATGCCCTTTATGATTTGATAAACCTCTACAACCTCAAATTCTCTTATCTTTTTATTTTTCTCTAATTCTTTCATTTTCTGTCTTTCTCTATCTCTCTTACTCCCTCTTTTTTCTCACATACATGTGCACACAACACTTTCTCTCCCCCCCCCTCTCTCTCTCTCTCTCTCACTCTTTCCTGTTTGCTGTCTCTGGAAGTCTGGTGTGACTGAGTGATTTCCATTCCCCTCAACACCTTCACCCTCACCCTCTGAAGTAGTGTGTTTCTGATTAACAGAGGAGAGAGACACAAGAAAGGCAGAGGGACAGAGAGAGAGAGAGAGACAGAGACAAACAAAAACATAGACAGAGGGAGACAAATGGAGAAAGGGAGGCAGAGAGACACACCAAGAGACAGACATATAGAGAGTAAGAGGAGACAGAGAAAGAGCCAGACTTACGAGCTTGTTTTAGTCACTGTTTGGGCAGTGGATGTGTTGCTCCACTTGCACTTTCCTGTAACACTGAGAGCCATAACTCCAATGTACTGTGTAAGGACTGCACCTAGGCCCCAAGCTCGATCTGCAATGTTCTATCCTAATTTCCCGTTTCCCTTAAGATGCTCCTTAAAGTTGATATCTTTGGCCAAGCCCATTCTGAACATCTCCTTCTGTGGCTCTTTGTCAAATTCTGCTTAATAGTCACTCCTGTGAAGCAGGCGAGATATTTTACTATGTTAAAGATGTCACATAAATGCAGATTGTGACAGTAGAGATATGTTATGTGACCCTTTATCTCTTTCTCCCTGCCCTTCAGATTTTCATCCAAGTGTTACCCAGGTACCTCTGGATCCAGAGGCCTAAACTGGAGGCCTCAGAGAGTGAGAAACGTGTTGCTCTGAGCCGTGTAATAGACGAATATTTCATCCGAAAACCTGCCATGGACTTAAACAACATGAGGTACCCTCTGCACAGTCGAGGTGTACCCCACTACCCTGTCCTCTCTCTTTCTCTCTCCCTCTCTCTCTCATACCATTTGTCTCTGTTTCTCTTTTCCTCCCACATCTTTCTCTCCCTCCCTTTCTCTTTTCTTCTCACTCTTTCTTTCTCTCTGTCTCTCTTGTTCTTGTTATCTCGCCTTTCTGTCACGCCCTCATTCTTGTATTTATGATGGTCACCCTTGAGCTCAGTGTGTCCACTAATCTGAGGGCTGTATTGGGTAAAATACGACCCACGGATCATTTCTGGTTTGATGTCAAGAACAAGTTTGTTCATCAATCCTGAGTATACATTGGGTTCCAATCCTAGACTTGTGGCAGCACAGAAGGAGGCCAATCAGCCCATCAAGCTCATGCCAGTTCTCTGAGCAATCAACACAAACCCATTCCCTCCCTATTCAGTCCCCATATTCTGCATGTTTACTTCCTTTCCAATTTCCTTTTAAAATCCTGGATTATCTCCACTTCCATTCTCTCCCCACTCACCCCTCCCCTTTTCCCACGTGGGGAGAGAATTCCAGGCTGGCATAACTTCATTGCATGTTTTAAGCCAATCCTGCTTCTTACACATTGAGATTCTGATCTGGAGTATCTCTGAGCTCTGGGAACACACACACTGACCCTGAGGCTGCCTGCTCCTTATCTCTAAGTAAGGCTCCTCAACTCCTGAGATACCTTAATGCTCCTTCATTTACACCGGTATTTAGCAGCTTGTGAAATACTGCTGATTGCAGTATGTAAGACCACACTCCTCACAAGCTTGTTCTACAGTGGAGACATCGCTCATACTGATCTCAGACTTGTGATCAGCTAAATCATTGTGATGTACATAAATCTCATTGTACCACCTTAAACATGCACTGCATTTTATAAAATACTTTACACTCCGCCCCACAACATCTCTTATCCACAACCTTTAATCTTTGTCTCCCTCTTGACCTTGTACCATCAGCCAATGGGAACAGCTTTACTTCATCTACCTTATGTAACCTGTCATAGTCTTCACCTGTGCCCAGGTTGGGCCTACACACAGGCTTCATCCTGTGTAGTGAACACTCTATGTCCTAATAGCAGGAAGGGGCTTACCTCCTTGTGAAGGATCATGTACGCTTACCAGACTTGACTACATTGCAAGAACAGTTTTGGTCCCAATCCAGAGTCTACAATTCCTGCTATCTCTGACTTCCTTCAGCCCTTATACCCCTCCCCGTCTCTGTAACCTCCACCAGCCCCTATAGCGCTCCAATATTCCATAAGTTGCTCCAGCTCCTACACGCCTTCCTATCTCTGTAACCTCCACCAGCATGTTCACTCCTCCCTATCTGTGTAATCTCCTTCAGTCCCTATACCCCTTCCTATGTCTGTTAACTCCTCCATGCCCTACACCCCTCCGAGATGTTTGCACTGTTCCAATTCCAGCCTGTTGAACATTCCCCAATTTCCATCATTCTGCCACTGGCAACTATTCCTTCAGCTGCCTGAGTCCCATGCTCTGGAATTCCGTCCCTGAACCTCTCCACCTCTCTCTCTGTCACTGTCTCTCACTCATGCCCTTGAACACTTTATATTCGTATAGTGACTGGTTGTTAAATTTGTCAGATAAATTCTGTTATTTGCTGAAACTCTTTGGGATGTTTTGAGGTAATGGTGCTATTTAAATGTTGGTTATTGTAAATGAATTAAGGCATTAATCATCAATGAGTTCTGCAGGGGTCAATAATGGGAGCATAACTATTCGTTAACAATCTGAACAAAGGAACTGAAGGCATAGTTGCTAAGTCTGCAGATGACACAAGGATAGGTGGAGGGACAGGCAGTGTTGAGGAGGCAGAAGACTGTAGAAGGACTTGGACAGGCTAGGAGAGTGGGCAAAGAAGTAGCCGATGGAATACAATGTGGGAAAGTGTGAGGTTATGCACCTTAGTAGGAAGAATAGAGGCATAGACTATTTTCTAAATGGGGAATGGTTTTGGAAATCTGAAGCACAAAGGGACTTGGGAGTCCTAGTTCAGGATTCTCTCAAGGTTAACATACAGGTTCACTTGGCAGTTGGGAAGTCAAATACAATGTTAGCATTCATTTTGAGAGGGCTAGATTACAACAGCAGAGTTGTACTGCTGAGGCTGTATAAGGCTCTGCTTAGACTGCATTTAGAATATTGTGAGCATTTTGGGCCCCATGTTTAAGGCAGGATGTGCTGGTGTTGGAGGGGGTCCAGAGGAGATTCACAGGAAAGATCCCGGGGAAAAAGAGCTTGTCATTTGAGGAGTGGTTGAAGACTCTGGGTCTGTACTCTATGGAGTTTAGAAGGATGTGGGGTGCAGTAGGGGGGGATCTAACTGAAACTTACACAATACTGAGAGACCTGGATAGAGTGGGTATGGAGAAGATATTTCCATTAGTAGGAGCGATTAGGACCCGAGGACACAGACACAGAGTGAAGAGAAGACCCTTTAGAACTGAGATGTGGAGGAATTTCTTCACCCAGAGGGTGGTGAATCTGTGGAATTCATTGCCACAGAGGGCTGTGGAGGCCTAGTTATTGAGTGTATTTAAGACAGAGATAGATACATTCTTAATTAGTAGGTGGGAATTGAGGGTTATGGGTAGAATAGAGTTGAGAAACATACCAGCCATGATTGAATGGTGGAGCAGACTTGATGGGCCAAATGGCCTAATTTTGCTCCTATATCTTGTGGTCCAATGTTTTTATCAGTTGGGTCCTGGGATTAATTTCTAATTTCTAGGAAAAGTGGTGACCCAGCTGCGGTCTTACTCTGCCCGTTATTCACCATGAACCCCATCACCTATCCCTCCAGCTCCCCATCCCAACTCCCTGAAGATGTTGTAGACCAGCAAGCCCCAAACCTTTCCCCATGTGACCCTACTTTGAGGCTTGAAGATTGTTACTAACGCCTCATTCAGAGCTGTCAGTGCAGCAGAGGGATGGGTGGGGAGGTGCTATGACGGCAGGGGACCTGAGGGCTTGGGGGTGTAGCTGTTATTAAGCTCCGTGACTACCATTACGGACTCATCGCTCACCACCCAAAGATTTCAGCTCACCGACACCACTTTTGGGAAACACTGGCATCAACTGTTCCTCTCTTCCCACAGAGTGGATTTGCCCCCAAGCCACCTGTTCCCTGAGATAAACAGATACATAAATGGCATCGTCCATCAAGTGGTATTGCCTCCAGATCTGAAAGCAGCAGTGGAGGCCATCAAGTACATTGCCAAGGAGCTGCAGGGGCAAGAGGAGTACGACAAGGTGAGTCAGCGGGTGTGTGAGGATGGTGCCTGGGGAATAACCAATGTGGGAGGGGAGGGGTTGGCTCACATAAATCAAACTCCATCACCCAACGACCACTTCCTGTAACACACTAAGGCTCAGCCTCCCTTGCTTTAGTTGCTGGGTGACCACTCACCTATCTGGGTCACAATAGTTTGAAGGGTGGGAGGGTTCAGTGGTCCAGGCATTATCGGTAATTTCAACATTTTTTTAAATTCATTAACGGGATGAGGACGTCACTGGCTAGGCATCAGTTATTGCCCAGAGGGCAGTTCAGGGTCAACCACATTGCTGTGGGTCTGGAGTCACATGTAGGCTGCATGAGGTAAGGATGGCAGTTTCCTTCCCTAAAGGGCATTAGTGAACTGGATGGGTTTTTCTGACAATCAACAATGGATTCATGGTCATCATTAGATCCTTAATTCCAGATATTTATTGAATTCAAATTCCACCATCTGCCGTGGCGGGATTTGAACCCAGAATGTTATCTGGGTCTCCGGATTAACAGTCCAGTGATAATACCACTAGGCCATTGCCTCCCCTGGGATAACGGAGTGAGGGATGGAGCGAGGAGTTGGGGGGAAAAGGGAGGTCCTGACGGGGAACTGTGCCAACAAGTGCCGTATTCCAAGTTCGACACATCTGGCTGCAAGGGCAAGAGGTGAAAGGGTGACCAAGACCCTGGGCAGCTATTTTGAGCACAGCAAGCTCCCATAATTTCTATTGGGATGGGTGAACTTTTCTCGCCCACCCACCCCCACCAAATCCCATCATCCCTTGTCCAAAGCTGGTGCTGGGGTTTATGAGGGTGGACGGAGCCCTTAATATATCATTTTGTGCTGAAGAAGTCTCCTCTGAGAGTGCAGTGCTCCCTCAGTGCTGCACTGGTGAAGGTCTTGACCTGCATTAGGCGCTCGAGTCTTTGAAGCGGGGACTCTATCAGAGAACATTCTGACCAGGGAGGGACAAGGTCCTGCTGACAGAGTGATGGATAAATTTAACTAGTGGTTGACATTCTGGGCTGGGTGGCGCAGATTCAGGTGTGCCAGAGGAATTAGGTAGGGCTAGACTGACAGCACTGACACACAGTTACTATCAGGGGTGGGAGATCCTGGCTGACTTGCCACAAAGACATAGCAGTCAATGATAATACACTGTCACTGACCCTCCACCCAGCCCCTTACCTCACCACAGCTTTGATTAAAACATGGTGTAAAGGCATAGCCGTTGCTCAATGCTGCTGCCGTTTCATTTGCATCACTGTCGCTGTCCTCTCATGTCTCTTACTCAGGGACACAAATATCAATCGAAGCATTATTCCCCAAAACCTCTCCCCCAGCTGCCTGAAGCGAAAGAGGCCTACTTGGGTGCAAGCCGAGAATGAAGCCTGGGGTTTTCTTGCTTTCAGTGCGACCTTTTCTTCTGTTTTGCAGCTGAAGGAGGACTGGCAGTACGTGGCCATGGTTGTCGACAGGCTGTTCCTCTGGGTCTTCATCACCTTCACCTCATTGGGGACGCTTGCCATCTTCCTTGATGCCAGCTACAATGTTCCACCTGTCGATCCCTTCGACCCTTTGACCTAATGCCAACCCCTGTCAGCTCTCCTTCCCCAATCATACAAGTAAAAGCATCTTCCCTTTCCAATCCATCCCATTCCCCAGGCTCTAGTGTGAATGTGATGCACGAATGAACAGTTTCAGTTGGACAATAGACTGTCTTCTTTTTATTTTATTTTGTACAGGAAAAGCACAGCCTTCCCTCTCACATTCTATTTTTGTGGGCCTGGTGCATGAGTTGGATCTCTCTCCCTTCCCAGCTGGATCCTGCCCACCCCACAATGCAGTCTAGATACTGAAGACAAGTCAGGATCTCCCTGTAGGAAAAATGAATCCCTTTGCATCAAGGTGCCATAAATCTGTCAGATGGTGGATCATGTGCTATTCACTTGAGCAGGAAGAATGAGAAAACAATATTATCTAAACAGAACAACTGCAGAATTCCAAGGCACTGATGGATTTGGGTGTTCTGGTGTATGAATCAAAACGTTAGTATATAGGTGAAGAAGGCTAATGGGATGTAATTCTTTAATATGAGAGAAATTGAATGAAAAGTAAGTTTTGGAGTCATACTGGACCCAAAATGTTAACTCAGCAGGTCTGGAAAGAGAAACAGAGTTTCTCTGGAATTCTCTGTTTGTTTCATATTTCCAGCATCTGCTATATTTGCCTCGATAAAAGTAAGAATGTTCTGTTTCAGTTATACAGTACATTGGTGACACCACATCTTGAATACTTTGTGCAGTTTTGGTTTCTTATTTAAGGAAGGATAGAAATGCATTGGAGGTGTTTCAGGGGAGATTTCCTAGATTGATTCCTGGAATGAGTGAGTTGTCTTATGAGTATAGTTTGGACAGGCTGGGCTTCCACTAGTGTTTAGAAGAGTAAGGGGTGACTTGATTTAATTATACAACATCCTGAATTGGCTTGACAAAGTGGATATTTCCTCGTATGAGTGAGTCAAGACTAGGGAGCATTGTTGTAAAATTAAGGGTCGTCCTTGCAAGACAGAGGATGTAAGTGGTACACAGTTGCCACTGCGCATCAGTGATGGAGGGAGTGACTATTGAAGGTGATGGATGAGGTGCCAGTCAAGCAGACAGGTTTGTCCTCAATGGTGTTGAGTTTTGTGAGTGTTGTTGGAGTTGCACTCATCCAGGAAACTGGGGAGTATTCCATCACACTCCTGACTTGTGCCTTGTAGACAGTAGATAGGTTTTGGGGAGTTGTGAGTTACTTGCTGCAGGATTTCTAGCTTCTGACTTGCTCTTGTGGCCACTGTATTGTTATGGAGTTCAGTCTATTTATAATCAGGATATTAATAGTTGAGGATTCAGCGATGGTAATGCCATTGAATGACAAGACAAAAAGGTTAGATTAGTTTTTGTTGGAGATGATCATTGCCTGGCACTTACATGGTATGCATGTCACTTGCCTCTTATCAGTCCAAGTCTGAATCTTGTCCAGGTCCTGCTGCCTATGAACATGGACTACTTCAGTAGCTGAGGAGTTGCAAATGGAACTCAACACTATGTAACCATCAGCAAATTATCCCACTTTTGACCTTATGATGGAGGGAAAGTGACTGATGAAACATCTGAAGGTGGTTGGGCCTAGGATACTACTTTCATGACCTTAGGGCTCTTGTGGCATAGTGGTAGTGTACTTACCTCTGAGCTAAGAGGACTGGGTCAAGTCCCAGTCACTCCACAGTGCATCATAATATCTCTCAACAGGTTGATTAGCACGTATCTACCCTGATTATCTTGTAGCTGAGATAATTAACCTCCACCAGTCATAACCATTTTCACTTGTGTTAGGTATCAACTGTATACAGCAGACAGCTTATCCTCATTCCCACTGAATTCAGTAACAATGAACAAATTCTCAAGCTGCTTAATACAGGGACATGCCTGAGACATGATTGCACGTACCTTAGTCCAAGCCACCTCCATACCAGCATGGACAATGGAAGGTCTTGATTCTACAGTGTGGGAAGACTTAAAGGTACCTACAATGCATAATCACAGCATTGTTGCAGCACGGAAAGCCCCTTGTGGTTGTGCTGGCTGTCTGAATGAGCAGTGCACTTAGAGCTATTCTTCACCTTCTCTCTGCAGTCCTGCACATTCTTCTTTTCAGGTTAGCATTTAATTCCCTCTTGCAATCCATGATTAAACCTGCTTCCACCACACTGCCGGGCAGCATTCCAGATCCCAACCATTGGCTACACAGTAAAGTTCCTCCTTGTATTGCCATTGCTTCTTTTGCCAATTCCCATAAACTTTTGCCATCCTGTTCTCAATCCTTCCACCTGTGGGAGCGATTTCTCCGTCTGATTTTGAATACCCTATTCAAATCTCTTCTTGACCTTCTCTTCTCCAAGAACAATTCTAATTACCCCGATTTGTTTATTTAAGCGATGAATGATGGAAAAAGTATACTCACATCCACCAGACACAAGCTAGGTGTTGACTCTAGATGTCAATTGTGACTCCATCCTTTGGTCCAGACTCCAACAACAATGAAGAAGGCACCACCCCCCACCCCAAACCAAGGCAGGAAGGCTACAACTGCAATGACGAAATGTTCCAAGACTTGGAAATAGAATCCATAAAGAATTTTACTACTGGGAATGGACAATATGTTTCAAAGATGTTGGATTTATTGAAGATTCCAGGAATGTTTTGGATTCGTGCTTTGTGCATTTTTGGTTTGAATGCAACTCATTGCCCCTCCCCCATACAGTGTCTTTTTTAAACAACCACAAACTCTCTGTTATCAAAGTCATTTAATCAATGATTATTAAATTAAGCTATTTTCCTTTCATGGGGAATCTCATGATTTTCATTTAACAGGAAAGTCCCTGGTGCCAGCTCAGCCATTAATGAGGTGATGGTAGGTGCCTGCAGGGAAGCTAGGTGGTTGCTTGTTGGAGGAAGGGTCAGCCATTATTACAGATAGGGCTTTTAATTTGTTCAGGAAATGAGAAAGTGAATTTGGGATGGGTTGGGGGTGTGGGGTGGGGGAAGAGATTGGAAATCAGGAAGAGATGTGGGAGATCAAAACTGAGGAGTCTGATAAGCCCTGTAGGGAACCCTTAGGCAAAATGAGGCACTATAAAACTGCATGTTCTCTTGTCCTCAGACTGTATCCTGTTCATGTTTATTTCATGTTGGATCCCATAAACAGTATGGATCAATCCAGTTTATCTTTGAACCAAGCTTGCAGAGAGACAGCATGTTTCATAACAAGAAATAGGAACAGCAGAAGGCCATTCAGCCCCCCTAACCCTCTCTATCATTCAATGAGATCATGGCTGATCTTTTGCTTCAACACCATTTTATATTATACCATCCATCACCCTCGATGGCTCCCTTTAGTTTGAATTCTGTTGCATCCCCAGTGTGTCCCAGTGCACAAATCTGCTTGTGCTGAATAACATGTTCACTTACCCTTCTGGGTGTCATTTGCGGGATTAATGTTATCAAGGGTACATCTATGCAGTTTAGGGACGTGGTCTGTTAAGGCTTCTTGCTTCCCCGATGATCCCGATGATCTCTAGCTATTTTGCAGCGAGAACATTATGAGTCTCAGAGGGAAACTGGGTAACGGGCAGATTAAAAGCACCACAGGGCAAACAGCCTTCCCTTTGGGTGGTGTGAGTGACTAGTTCCACCTTCTGCACACTGTAGTAACAATCCCAGGCCTCTTCACTGATTCCTGTCTCAGAGTGACCATTCCCAACATCACATCCAAAGATCACCATGGGGGCTGTATGCATGCCTTTCATCAATCCCTGGTACCCCACATGCCTCACACTCAATGAAGTAAAATATAATCAGTTGCAATGTTGGAAATGCAGCAGCCAATTTACACACAGCAAGATACCACAATCTATGATAAACAGGTTTTTCAATGCTGGTGGTAGATAAACATTAACCCAGGAGATACAATGGGTCACCTTGGGTTGTAGGGTCAAGCTTCACTCCAACATCTTTAGCATGTTCCCTGGGCTGTCACTCCCACTGCTGTGGCAAGAGAGCGCTCCACTGCCCGCGAGACTGACATTTGGACTTGCTGTTCAGCTTGTCTGCTCCCTCAGCTCACTATTACAGATTCCTGGTGGCATTAGGGGGGAGTTCTGCCAGGATTCACGCCTATATATATATCCATGAAAGATCATCACCAGGGTTAAAAGACTTTGTTATTGCTGCATTTGGGAGCTTACTGTGTGCAAGTCGATTGTTGTGTTTCCTACATTTCAGCAGTGACTACACTTCAAGATAAAGACTCCAGTGGCTACAAAACATTCTGGGTTTCCTGATGTGGTGCTATAAAAATACAAATCTTTCATTCATGATAGAATGGGGTTGACTGCCAAGGGAGTTACAGATGTGACTTAGAGTGTGCAATAATGTAGCAATAGGCACAGAGAGAATAAAAAGCATATAATATAAGGCATCTTTTCCATAACATTTAAAAAATACATATAAAATTTACAAAAAATACACTTCTGGGTGTATAAGACACCCTCAGTCACTCCTGTAACCTCCACACCCTCCAAAGGTTCACATTTGTCTTTTTAACCCCTCTCAGTAGCTCTGTATGCTGGAGGTTAGTAATGCTTGAGGGAAGTGTGGCTGGGGTAGACCATGTGGAAGAGAAAAGGCATCAATCAGGGACAGGGTTGAGGGCGGTGGTGAGGGATATGATGTAGCCACTCTGCGTTCAAAGAAGCCCCCACTTCAGTGCAGTGACCTTTCCTAAAGATGGTGTCCAAGATTTGGCCTATCTATGTGGCAACAGTTTAGGCCTGTGAGCAGAATTAATGATCTGAATTTGGTACAGCTTCCCAGTTAAATGATCATCATCATCTCTCCTTCAATTTCTGAGCATGGAGTTACCGGTTAGATAGAGCCCCTCTTGGACTCAAGGAACCCATGAGGTGACAACCAACCAGGCCTTCTCACATAGGCTTGAGCTTTCCCATCCAAGTTGAACACTTCGGCCACTCTCACTTGCAGTGTCAAAATCGTCATGGGATATGGCTTTGCCTTCATCAGGTGACTTCCATGATAGATGGGGAGTGTTGGGGAGAAGCGGGGTGCGGAGAAGAGGCAAGGGCAGATGCATGGGCTTCAGAACCTCTCTCTCGACTTTCCTCAGACTCTATCCAAGAATTCCAATGACCTTTGTCCTATCGATCCTCTGGCTTCCTTTAATGATTCACAAAGAAAACAGTATTTGACCAAAAAACTGTAGGAAATGGTGGAACAGCACTGGTAGGGAGGGAGGGTAATTTGGAGCAAAGACACCTCAGGAAAAGAAAACAGTCCTCAGAATTTGCAGAGAGAAAGAGAACAAAGACAAAAGAAGAAAAAGGAGCTTTCAATAAATCAGATTAGGCCTTTAGCCTTTGGTGCCCAGCTTATAAACCATGCACATCCAGTAGGCACTCACCGTCTCTTGGCTGGATTGACCACCCTCACATATATAATTGAAATGAAACACAGTATATCAAATCTTAAAATGAACTCTCTAGATTATTCTTATGATTGCAGCACTTACCAAACTTGTGGGAACTGAAGAACAGAAAGTGTGGAATCATAATGTTTGTGTATATATTCAGTCCTGAGATGTGAGCTTTGCTGGTTGGGCTAGCATTTATTGCCCATCCTTAAGTGCCCTGGATAAGGTGGTGGTGAACTGCCTTCTTGAACCACTGTAGTCCTTATTGTATAGGGACACTCACAGTGCTGTTAAGGAGAGAGTTCCAGGATTTTGTCCCAGCAACATTAAAGGCATGGTGAATGGTTGAGGGGAACTTGCAGGTAGTGAAGTTCGCACCTATCTGCTGCTGTTTGTCCTAGATGGTAGAGGTCATAAATTCAAAGTTGCTATCAGAGGAGCCTTGAGGAGTTCACGTAACTCACTTGTAGGTGGTACAGAGTGCCTCCACTGAGCCAGTGGTGGAGGGAGTAAAAGTTGAAGATTGTAGATGGGGAACAATCAAGTGGAGCTGCTTTGTCCTGGACGGTACTTGCAAAAAACACATCAGGCTGAAGAGCAAGGGCTTATTCTTCACTGGCCCCACATTCCCATCAAGGTCACTGTGGCTTCTCTGCCCTCAAATCTTACCATAACTGTCACTCCTGAGACCCATCCTGTTCCTTTTCTGTTTGGTACAGGAGCAGGTACAATGGGACAAAACATCTGCTCTCTTGTTTTTCTTTAGTACACTCAACCTACTTTTTTTCCTAATCAACCTGTTCAGAGATGCTTTTAGACACCTCTGGAGCAAGTGGGACTCGAACCTGGGCCTCTTGGTTCGGGGGTAGGAACACTACTACTGTGTCACAACAGGGTCCCTAAAGTCTACAACACCTGGTATTCTCAGGCATTCTCCCATCCAAGTGGTAACCAGGGCATTAATGATCCTAGACTGACAGATGTTGTGTTTGCTGGGAAACCACTGGAAAGATCAGGGACAAACTGAGGAGAAGGACTGGATCATTCAGCCCCTCAAGCATGGTGCATCATTCAATTAGATTGTGGTTGATCGCTGTGTTAACACCATCCACACACCTTCATCCGTTACACGTACCCAACCAAAATCTATCAATCTCACATTTGAAATTGTTGAGGTTTTGGGGGGGGGGGTTGTCGGGGTTTGGGGAGTGGGGTCAGGGGGTTTTGTGTGTGTGTGTGTGTGTGTGTGTTGGTGGAGGGAGGGAGGGAGGGGGGTGGAAACAGAGTTGCAGGTCTCCACTCCTCTATGTGTGAAGATGAGCTTCCTGAAAATGTCCCTGAAAGGCCTGGCTTGAACTGGAAGGTCATGCCCCCCCACCCTAAACTGTCCAAACCCTCCATACCCCACACTCCCCAAACCCCGACAAGAGAAAATCATTTTTTTGCAATCAACCAAATCAACAAAATGGAAAACTCAAGCTGGTCACTGATCAGCTAAGTCTAGCCAATAGCATGGTCATTCGATAATGGAGTTAAGGTAATACTAGAGCACATGGGATAGAAGAGGTGGAAACGATGGCATAAATGAAATGAACCCATAAGCCAGGGATCCAGGTTATGCTCAGGGTGGGAAGGGGGCACAGATTCAAATTCTGCCAACATGAATTCAATCTTTTAAAATTCCTAGAATTGAAATCTAGTCTCTGATTGTTGTAAAAATCTACAAATCCAAATCTCATGAAAGAATTTTAAAAGAGCAGCTGACAGCTATGGGACTTTAGAAGAATGAGAGGCAATCTCATTGAAAAGTATGTATAATTCTGAAAGAGTTTGATAGGGTCAATATGGAGAGACATTTCTCCAGGTAGGGGAGACGGCGGCGGAAGCCTAGAATGGAGAAGCATAGTATCAGAATAAGGGGAAGGCTAGTTCAGACCGAGACGAGGAGGAATTCCTTCACTTGAAGGTCGGGGAATCTTTGGAATTCTCCGCCCTAGAACGCTTGTGGATGCTTGAGTACGTTCAAGGCAGAGATCAATAACTTTTTTTTTAAGTCATTAAGGGAAACAAGGGATCTGGCAGGAATAGGAGTTGAGGTAGCAGATCAGCCATAATCTTAATGATTTGATGGAGAAGGCACAGGGTGGGATGGGGGTGCGAAATAGCATTCTGCTCCACTTTCCTTTCGACACAAAGGATCAGACAGCTATAACACAGGGTCATTAATGGCTCCATGTCCATGGTCCATGTTCTCCCGTGCGTCCTGTTGTGCTCCGAGGTCGAAGTTGCTGATTGCCAACATGTGAAATGGCTTCTTCAATCAATCTACAGTGGAGACATCACAAGGGCCCCGCTGGGAAAGGGCAACAGGTCCCACAGAGAAGGCTGGTGAGGAACGTGGTGGTTTGATTGATAGCTTGAGCAGCATTCTTTATGGGGTGGAGGGGGTGGCCATTGGTCGGCAGGTTCTGGTTAGGTTGCTCAGATTGTCAAATGAGTTGTAATCACATTGAGGAGTGGCTCCGGCAAAGGCCTCTGGGTTAAACTGGTAGGTCCAAGTCCAGGCCATCAGCCTCCGCCAGTCCGATCACTCGCCCCTGCCTCCCCGCCCCCCCCGACCCCGTCAAGGGTCCACAAAGGAAACCATGATGTAGCGAGTCCCCCGGGTGGTCGGCAGGCCCTCGTGGAAGTGGGTGAGTCGGCCGGGGTGCATGAGGGACCATCCCTTCCGGGGAGCCTCGATCGAGCAGTTGTACCTCAGGAACCTGCAGCCTCCGCCCTGCAAAAGAGGGTGAAAGGGGTTTCAGAAACTGGCAGAGAGAGCAGACGATCTGCGCGGAATTTACAGCACGGCACTCAGCCTGTCGATAATCCCCAAAGACACCAGCCACTCCCTCCCAGGATGAGGCAACTGTGATGTCGTGTCAACTAATAACCTCCTATCATCAGCTTGTACCTTCACACACGGTGGAATCCAACCAATCACATTCACCCAGAAGAATGGGTCCACGGCTCAGACTCATTCATAAAGAAAGACAAGAGTGACTATGAGGAGGGACTGAGTGAGAAGGTGATGAGGAATCGAGTGAGAGAGTGAGGAAGGACAAGGGAGAGGCTGAGAAGGGACCAAGGGAGACAGAACGGAGGGATCAAGTGAGAGGGTGACAAAGGACTAAGTGAGCGAGGACAGACCAGGTCAAACGGTGAGGGGGACCGAGTGAGAAGGGGATGAGTGTCTGGGTGAATGAGCGAGGAGACATTGATTGGGAAGGTGAGTGGGGAACCAAATCAGAGGGAAGTCGAGTGAGGTAGTGTGTGAGTAATAGAGTGAGGAGTGATTGATTGGGAAGGTCAGGGGGAATCAAGTGAGGGGAGAATCGAGTTGGGTGAGGTAATGTCTGAGTGAGAGAGTGAGGAGACAGAGTGAGAGGGAATGAGAAGGTGAGGAGGGATCGAGTGAAAGTATTAAGGGGTAGAGCTATTCCTCCATTGGGCCCTGCCTGGGGAAGCATCTCCTCCTGAGTGGGAAGAAGCTGACAGTCAGCAACAGCTACTTACCTCATAGTCAACCCCCTTGGTATTGAGGGCGATGTTGATGGTGAATGTTGACGAATCGTGGTGAGGTCGGAGTGATGGCTGCTCATCTGGACGGTAACGAACCATGAAATTCATCACTGCCTCGGCCTATCAGAAAGATCTAGAAATGAGAGGGAGACACAGGGACGGTGTGATCCTGACAGACCCTCTCCCATCAGCAATACCCACAACTCCCTGGAGGTGTCCTATCCAACACAGATACAGCACAGGGTTAGACAAATCCCCTGGACAGGATGGGTTGCATTCTTGGATATTAAAGGAAGTAGCACCAGATGCACTGGCAGTAATCTTCCAAGAACCCTTAGATTCTGGAAAACTCCCAGAAGATTAGAAAACTGCCAATGTAACTCCCTTATTCAAGAAGGGGGACCAAGAAAAAAGGCAACTATATGCCAATTAGCTATTTATCTATTACAAAAGATATAATAACAGAGCAATTAGAAATATGTATTATAATCAAGCATTCCACTTGATGATCCGTCGGTTAGAAGGATCAGCCCAAAACATTAACTTTGTTTTTCTCCCCACAGATGCTGCCAGACCTGCTGAGTTTCTCCAGCATTTTGTGTTTTATCCGTGCTGGTATTTCTGCTCTACACAAGCCTTCTCCTACTCCCTTCTCCATTTCACCCCATCACTATTCCCTTCTGTTCTTTTCTCTCCCCCACCACTGACTCCATCTTTACCCAGCATCCCCCTTTAAAATATCCACCTCATCCAATCCCCGTGGAAGCAAGGTGCACATTCTCACCACTTGCTGGGTGAAACAGAAAAGTAAGCCTCTCGAGTAACCTCCGCCATTCATATAAGGTCACAGCAGATATAATGACTCCGTATCCCACCTGGCCCCAATAACCTTAACTTCACCCCTGGCTTATCAATAATTTATCCCTCTACCTTAGAAACATTCAAGGACTCTAAGAGTTCCAAAGACTCACAACCCTATGTGTAAAAGAAATTCTCATCTCTGTCTTAAATGGATTTTTAAAAAGTGACTCTAAATTTCTTCATGGATTTATGAGTAACTTTCTTTATATTGATGGTACCTTGATCCCAAATAGGAACCTCTTCTCCACACCTCTCCTCTCCCATACTATGTCCCTCTCACACCGCCCTGCTCCAGGCCCCTTCCGCGTACCTTGGTGTAATAACCAGGATATAACTTCTCTGTCACTGGGGCAACGTATTTCCTCAGGAATTTCAGCCACTCCCTCTCAAAGTCAACCTGCTTCATGTGAATGTCAACAGTTGGGACATTCTCGTAACCTCCGCTGAGCCGCGAATCCTGGGGAAACAGTAACCACAGCAAGAAGCTTACAGAAAGATAGACTTACATTTCGGCAGCACCATTCACAACTTTAGCACTTTGCGAAGCATTTTACAGACGATTCTGAAATTGCAACATAGGAAACAGGGGCCCTCCAAGTCACACACCATTGTGATGTAGAAACATATCTCTGTTCCTTTAATGTCACTGGGTAATAACGCTTGGAACTCTCTCCCTAACAGCACTGTGGGTACTCATTCACTCAAACGACTGCAGCAGTTACAGAAGGCAGCACAGCATCTCAAGGGGAAATTACAGGCAGACAAGAAATGCTGGCCTCACCTTTTTAAAAATTCTTTCAAGGGATGTGGGCATTAGTGGCAAAGTTATCTTTTATTGCCCTTTCCAAATTGCACTTGACTGAATGATTTGCTCAGATATCTCAGAGGGCAGTTAAGAGTCAACCACACTACTGTCCATCTGGAGTCACATATAGGCCAGAGAGAATAAAGGCGGCAGATTTCCTTCCTTAAATGAAACCAGTTCACGATTCTGAGGCAGGCCTTGAACCCTTGACTTTTCGATTTGCGTGCAAGAATGGATGACAAAACTGTGCTTTAAGAGATGTATTTGCTCCTTTTTTTAATGACAAAAGGTTAAGACAGAGGCACCAATTGGTCTGCTTCAAAGCCCATAAAGTAAACAGCTTGTGAGGCCTTAGGTTTTTTTTAAAAATGTTGGAACAAAAGAAGCAGCTTGAATGGGTGGGGTCAAGCTCCCACAGAACCAGGATTTTTAGTTTTGGTGGTTCAGTAACAGTTTTTGGAGTCTTGAAGCTGGATGTGGAAGCTCTTTTTCCTCTTTGTTACAGCTAAGAGCTGGGGTTCTCTTCCTGCTGCTAGAATTGCACACAAGACAATCCATTTTACTGAATTTGCCTTTGCCAAGGGTGCATTTGTGGGATGCTACTATGGAACAGTTACTGTTTAGTAGATAATCTATTATTTTGTTAAGTTTTCCAATAGAGTTAAGTTATTCTGATTTCTTCTTTCTTTTGTTGTATTTTAACTATAGTGTATGAATAAAGTGTGTTGTGTTTCAAGCTGGGTAGTTTGACCAATTGAATTGCATCCAGAACGCAACAGCTGGCACTTGCCTTTAAAGTAAGAAGTATTTTGAGAAGGTTTGGACTGGTCCATAACAAATGCAATCCACTTAGGCTTGGCTATCTATTCCATCACAGCAGTGAACAAAGAGAAAACTGATGGTCAAAGTCATGAAAAGGAGCATGGCAACAGAAGTCAGCAAGTATAGCAACAGTTAAAAGGCATCTCATAATGTACCACCCATGGCCCTGTCAGTATCGTTGCCATCTCTTTTAGCCCTTGATTTGAGTCACTTGTTCAGCCATTTCAGAGGTCATTAAGAATCAATCACACAACAGTGGGTCTGGAGTCACATACAAGCTAGACCTGGTAATGAAGACTTATGTTTTATTTTTTAATTCATTTCTGGGATGTGGGCAGTTATTGCCAATCCATCTTTAGGGGAGGTGAGGGCCTAGTGATATTATCACTGGACTGTTAATCAGGAGACCTAAGTAATGTTCTGGGGACACGGCGGACGGTAGAGTTTGAATGCAATAAAAATCTGGAATTAAGAGTCTAATGATGACCATGAATCCATTGTTGATCACTGGAAAAATCCACCTGGTTCACTAATGCCCTTTAGGGAAGGAAACTGCCATCCTTACCTGGTCTGACCTACATGTGACTCCAGGCCCACAGCAATGTGGTTGACACGTAACTGCCCTCTGGGCAATTAGGGATGGGTAGTAAATGGTGGCCTAGCCAGTGACACCCTCAAAAAAATGCCCTTAAAATGATGCTGAGTCGTCTTCTTAAACTGCTGCAGTCTGTGTGCTGTAGGATCTCCCAGTGCTGTTTAGGGAGGGAGTTCCAGGATTTTGATCCAGAGACACTGAAGAAATGACAAACATTTCCAAGTCAGGATGGTGTGTGACTTGGAGGGGCACTTGGATGGTGTTCCCATGTATCTGCTACCTTGTCCTTGTAGATGATAGAGTTTGCGGGTTTAGAAGGTGCTTTTGGAAGAGATTTGGCAAGCTGATGCAGTGCATCCTCTAGATGTTACACACTGCTGCTACTGAGCATCTGTGTTGGCAGACGTTTATGTTTAAGCGGAGGCCTGGGTACTGATCAAACAGGGTTGCTTTGTCCTGGCTCACATTTCTTCATCAAGTATGGACAACATAAATTATTTTGCTGTTTGTGCCCTATCCTTTTGGTGCCAGAGAAACTAACTGTTGTTCAGCAAACAGAGGCTGAGGTCACCCAGAGCTCAATGGTGACTTAGTGCCCAGGACATAATGGAAGTGCAATGTAACACGATCTGACAGGGATTGTGAACGTAGGTCATGACTCAGGTCAGTGACGAGACAATATCAGCAACATGGCTACCAGTGAAATAAAAAAAACTGAAGGCTGACGTGGAGCTCATCAACTTGCTCAGACAGCGCTGGTCACTTCAGGTTCCTTTCTGCTAAGGCCTAATTTCATTCACGTAGCCGCCTAACTGCTTTTAACAGCAGACTGAATGACAGAGAAGGATAAATTGTCTGGGGGGCCTATTGGCGAGCATCAGCAATCTTCAGGGGGCAAAATCCCTGGCCTCGTTCATCTTAAACAAAGAGCAAGTGTTCCTACTCCGTCACCAACATCAACTTCAAAGAGTCAGCCATGATTGAATGGCAGAGCAGACTCGATGGGCCGAATGGCCTAATTTCTGCTCCTATGTCTTATGGTCTTGTAGGAGAAACTTCTTCAGCCAGAGAGTGGTGAATCTATGGAAGTCACTGCCATAGAAGGCTGTGGAGGCCAGATCATTGAGTACATTTAAGACTGAGATAGATAGGTTCTTGATTAACTGACCTAATGTGACCTCATTGATTCACTAATGGAATGGCGCGAGTGGATTGGCACAGTGTGACCCTGTTGCCTTAGAAACAAGAACGGATCTAGTGCGTTGGTCTGATCCGGCCTTCTTACCTCGTGCTTTCCTCCAGACCATTGGCCATAATGCTCCAGTTCTTGTACCAGCTCATCACAGGCTCGCTCAGAGAGAATGGGGAACCAGTAGACATCAGGACACGGCTGAGCAAGGAACACAGACTCAGTCAGCTAGCGGCAAAGAAATCTCCACATTGTGAGCAATATGCTCATGAGAAAAAACAGCTAATTTTGCAATCAGAATTAGCTGGACACCAAATTAAAATAGTTAGTGGCCAGACAGCCTGGATTGCACTTTTCAACTGAATCAGGCAAATTGTGTGACCAAACATCCAGGGTGGTTTATTACAGATGGGTCGCTATCGGAAATCCGGAAGGCTGAGGGAGAGGTCAGTGAAATAACTTCTCTGTAACCCCAGGCAGGACTGAGAGAGAACAGAAACTTGGATCAGGATGAGGCCATTCAGCCCCTCAAGCCTGCTCCATAATCATTCAATTAAATCGTGGAAAGAGAGGGGGAAAGTGAGAGGAAAGGAGATAGAGGAAAAGAGAGGGAGACCGTATGAAAGAGAGGGATACGGCAAGCACGAGAGAGGGACAGAGTGGGAGAGAACAGAGGGCAGGACAGCTGGAAAGAAAAAGAGTGGGAGACAGGAGGAGAGCAGGAGACAGCATGAGAGAGAGAGAGAGAGAGAGATGGACAAAATAGAGGGAGGGAGGATGTGGAGAATGAGAGAGGGAGGGCACGAGACAGAGAGAGAGCAAGCCAAGGAGAGAGGAGGGGATGGGAAGAAAAAAGGGGGGAGAGAAAAAAGGGAGTAGATAAAAAGAGGTAGCAGAGAGAGGGG